TGTATAAAAAATCTCGTAGATGAGATAGTCCATTTTCTGATAACCTCTTATTTCCTTAGACTAAATTGATTCCATCCCTTTCCTCTTCCCCTTCTAAGTCTTGTCACAACTTAGTCCTTCTTGTGAGTTTGTGGTTAAAATGACGAGGTTATGTTTATTTTTGGTGTTTTCCTTTCCTTTATCTTTGATGTTCCAATTGTTTGCTAATCTGTTCTGATAGCTGCAATTATTCTGATTTTGTCTACTTATTTTTCTCCTTGCTCAAGGCATTGTATCCCCCGCCCCCCTTTTTTTTTTTCCAGGTATGAGGACCTTCTTAAGCATTTCTTTTATTGGTGGTCTTGTGGTGATGAACTCCCTTAGCTTTTGTTTATCTGGGAAAGTTTTTATTTCTCCATCATATCTGAAGGATATTTTTGCTGGATATTCTTGGCTGAAAGTTTTTGTCTTTCAGAATTTTGAATATATCATTCCACTCTCTCCTAGCCTGTAAGATTTCTGCTGAGAAATCCACTGAAAGCCTGATAGAGATTCCTTTGTAAGTTATTTTCTTCTGCCTTGCTGCCCTTAATATTTTTTGTCATTGACTTTTGCTGGCTTTACTAGTATAGGCCTTGGAGAGGCTCTTTTTACGTTGATATAGTTAGGAGATCTATTGGCTTCAGCCAAGGAGATTTTATATCATACATTCCTTTTTTTCTTTTTTTTTAGGATTGTAAGACCATTGAGCCATCTCCTGAAATATTTCTCTAAATTTAAGTAATAGAAATCCTTTTTCAGCATATATGTGCATTTCTTTTGAGCTTTTGTCTCATCTCGACTCCATATTCTATATGTCTGTATGTTCTAGGATATAGTAACATAATTTGATAATGTGAATCCCTAAATAAATGGCTAGTGAGGAAAATTCTTTTGTATAAAAACCTATTAGATCTCCATTATAATAGTCCTTGAGAGAGAAGAAATGTTTCCATGAATGTAAAAAAGAGAGAGGAGCAATTATATGGAATTTTGTATTTTCCACAAAATCTAAATGTTTTCACATGTTAACGTTTCTACATGAATATGGTCATTCAGATGAAAGAACTTTATAAATATAAAATTTCACTTGAGCCTTGTTGGAAAGGCATTTATTTCTTTTTGTTACTCAACAGATGTTGAGTACCTACTAGGACTTCCAGGATTGGATTGATCTGCCTAACTGATTCTCTAGATTGGGGAGCTGGCAAAACTTTTCTATAAAGGGCCAAATAGTAAATATTTTAGATCTGTGGGCTACATGGGGCCTCTGTCACATGTTCTTTTTTAAACAATGCTTTAAAAACGTAAAAGTCATTTTAGTTTGCTGGCCCTACAAAATGGGCTAGAGTCATTATTTGGCCTACAGGTTGTAGTTTGCCAACCCTGCTTTAGGTGAATAAAACTTAATCATTCAAGTGTCATTTAAAATTTTATATTAATCACTTTTACTGGAAACCTTTTTCAAATTTTTTGTAAACTTCGTTGCCTTTTATTTTTAGCCTTTTATTATGGAAAATATCAAATATATACACAAATAGGGAGAATTTAGTATCATAAATCCTCACCAAGCTTTAACCTTACCAACATATGACCAATCTTATTTCATTTATACCTCCCTCCCTCATTAGTTTGAAGCAAATTGTAGGTATCATATCATTTCAGTCATAAATATTTCAGTATTCTGTTTTGTTACTTTCTCTTTCCTTTAGGCAATGCCATACTATCTTGAGTACTCTAGCTGTATAGTAAGTTTTTAAGTCAGGTAGGGTAAATCTTCCAACTTTTTACTTTTCTGTCTCGGCTATTCTTGGTCTTTTGCCTTTCCAAATAAAATTTAAAATTATTTTCTTAATTTCTAGAAACAAGCATGCTGGCTTTTGTTTTTATTTTAAAAGTTTTTGATTACATTTACTCTATAGATCAATTTCAGAAGAATTGACAACAGTACTCTTCTGATCCATGAACATGGTATACTGCTCCGTTTATTTAGGTCTTCAATTTCTCTCATCAGTATTTAGTAATTTGCAGTGTGCAGGCCTTGTATGTCTTTTGGGAAATATAATTCTAAATATTTCATGTTTTTTGCTGCTATTGATAATTTTTTAAAATGTAAATTTCTAATTGTTTTTTGCTAGTACTAGTCTTTATACTTTATAGTCAATTATCTTTTTAGAAAATTAAAACATGAGAGAAAAAGCCTTGGTTTGATATGTTAGAATTTTCATTAGTTTTGTGGACATATTTTTATCATTTTTTTTAATAAAAACTTCGTATGAGAATTGACTAGAATCCTATTTTCTTCTGTGCTTCTCCCCATTCTCACCTCTCTTTCTGAGATTCCAGTTCTTTTCTGTTATTTGTGTTTAAGTAGGATGGATTTTCCTGTACCGCTTTTAGATGAGGCGGGTTGGGCAGGCCAGCTTTCCTAGGTTTGTGGCTCTAGGAATCTTCTTTTGTTGTTATGTATTATTCAGAAATATACTTTGTGAGACCTTTTCTCTTCTCCTTCCCTACTTTTATCTAGACCAGGGCTTTTCACCCTCTGTAGTTTTGGTATTTGGCATCAGATAATCTTTGCTGTGGGGAGTTGTCCTGTGCATTGTAGGATGTTTAGTGACATCCTGGCCTCTACCTACTAGATGCCAACGATCACCCTGTGGTGCCCCCCCCTTTGCCCCCAATTATGATAACCAAAAATATTTCCAGATATTGTCAAGTGTCTCCTGGGAGTTAGAATCATTCTAGTTCTAGACCTTGTTTCTTTTACCGCTAATGAGTCTGTACTGCTTATTTAGATTTCTCCTCCTGGCAGTTTCTGCTTGGTGTGTTGCTTTGTCTTAGAAGGGAGCTTCACTTAGTTTTGAGATTTCTGGTTTTGAGATTTCTGGTCTTTCTGTGGTCCTGTTATATTTACCTGTGAGTTGTAGCCTGTGAAACTTCTTTGCAGTTTTAATTGCTGTTCCACACTGAATTTGACCCCTCAATTTGAGGAATGGGGTGGGAAGGTAGTACCTAGAGGCAATTTGATTTCTGGATGTTCTGGCTTCAGGGCTGTCCAATATCCCTTTCCTCTTCTTCCTCTTAATGTTGCTGATACCATGTGGTTCTTGCTGCTGTTGGTGTTTGGTCCCAACTGCTCAAATTTTGGGGTTCATAAATGATACATAGTCAATTAATTGTGTTGTATTTGTTGGCCATGTTTTGTTTTGATCTATTTGTTTTATTCTCCTTATTGTTCTTTTGAGGGGCGAGGGTTATTCAGGGATATTAAAAAATTATGTCTCTTTCATTGCCAAGTTGCCTGGATTGCTTCTGCCTTCTTAAAATCAATTCTAAATATGATAAAAGAAAATGTTTTAAATGATGGGTGAGACTTGTGGCTGGTCATGGACTCTGGGGAAGGCCTAGAGAGGGAGAGGGTGAAAATGCAAGAGAGAGACTGAAAAACTGGTAGATGTATTTGTGCCCTGGAGGTGACCAGAAGGCTTGGATACAAAAGTACGGGTGGAGGGATTAGCTTTGAACAGAGGAAGAGGACAGTTTGTCTGACCGGAGAGGTAAAGAGATGAGAGTTCATTCAGATATGTTAGTTTGCAAGTTTGCAGTTAGGAAGCTGAGGAGTGTCACATCTGGTATCCTCCATTTTCTTAGTAAACTTTAATGTGAAGTTATCTGCTAAATAAAGTGAGATAAGTATAGGGGGCTTGAGGAAAATAGTAAAGATTTTGGAATGGTGATGGTGAAAAATGGGAGCAGTATCTAACCGGAGACATGAAAGGGCCAACCTTAGACTAGTCCCTAAACTATAAATTTGAAAGATGCCAATTTTGTGATTTTTAATTTTTTTCAGTTTCATCTCTTAGAAACTCAGATATAAGAGCAGGGAAGGTGGTTGTTTGTATTGACCTAAGAGTAGGACTTTGCAGGACACGTGTTAGAGCATGACAAGGGGATAATGTTGTTAAGGCATGATAAAAGAGAGTGGTTCAAGGGATGCATCGTGGGGTATAGACTGGATAGGGAAGAAAATCATGCCATTCAGGTACTGATGTGTTGGGAGAAAGGGGAGGACTCAAGGGAATCAGGTCTGTGTGGTTCTAGAGCAGGTATGAGGGGAGTAAGAAAGTAAGAATTGCACGGATTAAAGCCAAGATAGTATATTGGAATTTAAAATTGCAGAACTAGAGAAATTTTATTTTATTATAAAGAGCATGTTATGGCTGTGGGAGTGTAACACTGATGAAAAATATTGGAGTAAAAGAAGTTTAGAAATGGTGGGAGTATGTTGTGGTATGTAGCCCATTATAGATAAGGAAGTCACCTATGGGGATGGCAAGAGTTAGGTTGGAGGGGAAAGTGTGAACCAGATAGGTAGGTAACAGGGAGATCCGTCCATAGATGGCAACAAGAAGACACAGGGTTCAGGACAGTGTTGTAAGAATGGGGAAAAGGGTGGTTTGCATGAGCATAGAAGACCAGGGACCTTTCTTCTAAAGTCTGTTATATTTGTTATTCATGTTATGAATATCAGGGATTGGACAAACTTCTTTAAAGGAACAGATGGTAAATATTTTAGACTTTGCCACTCACATATGGTTTCTGTTGCATATTTTTATTTGTTTGTCTTTATAACCCTTTAAAAATGTAAAAACCATTCTTAGCTTGTGTGCCATCCAAAAACAGACAGCAACTGAAGGTTGTAGTTTGCTGCCCCATGGCTTTTACTCATTATGAATTATCTGTGACTATACTTTTCTGTGACTAGTCAGTGATACTTAACTTTGTAAAAGTTAGTAATTGTTTCAGTTACTAAGTAACTTGTTACTTGAGTAACAGTAGTTTTGTGTTGGAAAGGGTTAAGGAGATGATATATATTTATTTTTTAAATACAGTGGGTAATATTGTTTTACGCTTCTCAGTATGATAATTACTTTTACATTTCTAAACAAAATTTTTACTTTTTTTGCGGTGGATTCAAGTTGAGTCAGCAGATACTGGAGTTATTTGAAGCATGTCAGCAGCAAGTAAGTGATTTAAAGAAGAAAGAACTCTGTCGAACACAGCTGCAGAGAGAAATTCAACTGTTATTTCCACGTATGTTTCCCTATTTTGCATGCCCTTTATGTATATGCATTCTGATTTTAAATTTTAAATAATACCTTATAATTCTCTTCTGTTTCTTTAGAAAGCAGACTTTTTTTGGTTGGGTCCTCTTTAAATGGATTTGGTACCCGGAGCAGTGATGGTGATTTATGCCTCGTTGTTAAAGAGGAACCAGTAAGTAATGAAATATTTATTATTCTAAGTGCATTTCACATGTTAAGTCCTTTAAGAAATTTCATATAAGAGTCATTGAAAAAAAGAATTTATTTTGTTTTAATTACTTCTTTGAATTCTCTGTTTATAGTAATTGAAGGAAAGCCTAGAAGTGCTTCTTTTTCTTTTAAGGCATGTGCCCAATAAGCGTAACAGGAATTTTAGTATTTATTTCTAAGGTGTTAAAGTGAGGTGGCTTCACTATGTTTTTAAAGAGCTCTGCCTCTATTTTGAAACATTATTGGGTTGGATATGTTACCAGCATGCAGTAAAGAAGGAGAGCATGTGTCAGTATTATCTTCTTGATATATTTCCTTTCTATTTGAATTCTCAGTGATTCTATTTTTAATCTTTGTTTTGTTTTCCCTTGAAAATACTATGGGATTTGGAGTTCTTATTTTGGGAATACGAAAAGAGAGATTTCACTGAAATTTAAAATGAGACTATTGTGATTTAATATATTTTTCTCTGGTATTTTGGCTTTATTTTTATTTAGCAACTAAATTTTGCTATTTAGTATTATGTTTATTTGAATTTCCTGTTAACCAATACTCTTGTATATCCTTAATACCACAATAATTGGTGTTCATTAAGCTGACCTGAAGCAGCCTCTTTAGTAGATTAAGATCTCTTCTGAATTACCAAGGGTTAAATTAATTTCTGTATAATTTAATGTGCCTTATTATATTCCACCTCTTTATAAATACAAAAACTCTATTGAGTGGTAATAGATTTTTACTATTCCTATTATTCCACTAAGAAAATTGGCTTCTAGTTACTGCAAATCAGAAAGAGATTTATTCTAGGAAAGAACCTCTGATATTTTCTAGGCTTTGAAATCATATAAAGGAAAAATAAAAAAAAACCCTCAGAAATAATCAACACAGTGGAAAGTACTAGAGTTTTAATTAAAACTTTCTCTCATGCAAGTAGGCTGTACTCAGGGACCACCCACTAATCCTGCAGTCTTCTTCATGTTTGAAGCATGTTGTCACAACTTGTACTCATCCTGAGACACTACCAATGGGAACCTTATCCCCAAGCAGCTCACAGCCTGGATAGGAAATACAACACATTACAGAAAATGAAAATTCTGTTTATTTTTTTGGAGAAGATTGCTTTTTGTACATTTATACTAAAGGAAAAAATGACATATATGGCTGTGTCAATATTTCTTTTAAAGTTGTGCTTTAAGGAATTGATTTAGAAATGTTAATGCGAAAGATAGCATAAAGCTTGACTTTTTCTATAGTGTAATTTAGTGAATAGTGAAAAAGAACTCCAAAGAAAAGTATACTTTGTTTGTTTTCTCTTTGTTGAAACACATTAAGAAAATAAAGCACTAAGTTTAGAAAGATAATGAAAAAACACTTTATTTTTAACTTTTCAGTGTTTTTTTCAGGTAAATCAGAAGACTGAAGCACGGCATATACTCACCTTAGTCCATAAACACTTCTGTACTAGACTTTGTAAGTCTGATATGCCTCAAGTTCATATGTCATCTGACATAACTATTTATTTCAAATGTCTCTCACTTTGTAAATTTTCTGGTAAGAATTGTTTGTTTTCTGGTCTGGATATGTATAATGTGGTTCCTTTTTTCCAAATGAATTCCTTTTACCTTTTAATTAAAAAGAAGAGTAATCATTTATTCAACAATTCTTTATTGAGTTTACTTGCAAGATATCCTACTGAATGCAGTGGAGAATTCAAAGATATATAAGCTTCAGTTCTTTTTCTCTATAGATTGTTAGGGGAGCTAAGGCATGGATATAAATAACTGCAGGGTAGAGTTTCTGTGAAAACCCAAAAGAGTGATACAGATAAAGTCTTATAGGTATTCATGTGAAGGAGAGAGAATTTCATTTGTTTTGCAATGATGTGCAGTTTATGACATGAAATTTTAAAAATATGATCACTGAACATGAAGCCCAAATGAATTACTCCAACAGAAAGCAGAGTTGTTGACTTGGGCCATTTTATTGTAAGATTTTGTTCTTTGAATAAGCTAACTAAGCAGATTTTAATCCACATGTTAAGCCATCTCAAATAATTTATTTTAAACTTCCACAAAATATTGTGGACAGGTGAAGTCACACTAACTGTGTGATGTTGGAAAGACATTTGTCCGCTTGTTTAACAGATATTCCTATGTGTCAGGCTTTGAGCTGGAAAATACCAAGTCAAGTAACAAGTTACTGCCCTTCAACAATTTATATCTGTTGTAGGAGAGAAAGAAATCAAGTGATTTATTTCAGTGGACTTAAGTTTTCACATCTGTAAAGTAAAGGAGTAATTCATACCTTAAGTGAATTTTTAATAGCTATTAGAATCATAAAATATTTAAAGTGGAGGGGACTTTAGAGATCATCGAATTCAAATGAAAGGTTTTTTTTTTTTTCCTCCCTCTTTGGTTGTTGTTTTTAATAGTTAAGGAGACTGGTGATGAATGGGTTTAATAACTTGCCTGAGGAGTATAGTTTGTTCATTGGTGTCAGAACCTGTATTTAGAACTTGAAACTTTTAACTCCTAATCTTATTTTTCATTAAACCTCACTGAATTCCTGCTTATAAATTCTATGAAGCTTGACGTATTTTATGATTTTGGTGCTAAAAGCCTTATAACAGAAAATTCTTAGTTTTTAAATCTGATATGTTTTTCTTTAGTTAAAACATTAGGAAATTGGTCATTTGGGAGAAGTTTGCAGTTTCTTTTTTATACATTGCTGTATTTTCCTAATTTACAATGAACATTATTACTTTCAACTTTGAAAAACATTTTTTTAAAGTTTGATGGAATGAAAAATATGTATGTATGTGTTCTTCCTCTTAGAGATCATACTTATTTGAATGTATCACTGCCCCTTGTATCATGTTGCAAGCATTTCCACATTTAAGACTCTCTGTAAATATGATTTCTGTGGCTGTCATAATGCCTTGCCTTGTACCAGAATTTAGCTATCCCCCTGCTGCTAGCCTAGATATTTTTTTATTGATGTCATAATAGTTTATAACATTATGGGATTCCAGTTGTACATTATTATTTGTCAGTCACCATATAAATGTGCCCCTTCACCCCTTGTGCCCACCCCTCAACTCCCATCCCCCTGGTAATCACCAAACTGTTCTCTCTGTCCATGTGTTAGTTTATCTTCCACATATGAGAGAGGTCATACAGTGTTTGTCTTTCTCTGGCTGGCTTATTTCACTTAACATAATACCCTCCAGGTCCATCCATGTTGTTGCAAGTGGGACTATTTTATCTTTTTTTTTTTATGGCTGAGTAGTATTCCATTATATATTTATACCACATCTTCTTTATCCAATCATCTGTTGATGGACATTTGGGTCACTTCCACGTCTTGGCTATAGTGAATAATGCTGCAGTGAATATAGGGATGCATAAGCCTCTTTGGATTGTTGATTTCAACTTCTTTGGATAAATACCCAGAAGTGGGATAGCTGGATCATAAGGTATTTCTATTTTTAATTTTTTGAGGTATCTCCGTACTGTTTTTCACAGAGGCTGCACCAGTTTGCATTCCCACCAGCAGTGAATGAGAGTTCCCTTTTCTCCACATCCTCTCCAACTTGTGTTACTTTTTGTCTTGGTGATTATAGCCATTCTCACGGGTGTAAGGTGATATCTTAGTATAGTTTTGATTTGCATTTCCCTGATGATTAGTGATGTTGAACATAGCCTAGATATTTTTCATCCTTATAATGCTCTGATGAACTTCTTTATAAATTTTATTAGATATTAGACCACATTTCTGAAAATAACTTTAATAGCCCTCTAAATGGTATTGAAAGTTCCAATCTTAAGAGAATTCGATAATGTCCTTTCTTTGCTTTCTTTCTCAAAGACTATATTTTCTTAAATTGTTTTAGCTTAGTAAAATACTATTTTTTTAAAATGTGCATTGAAATAGTATGAGTTTGAGAAACATTTACAGATACTCACATTATCTTTTTCCCTTCAGCTGGCTACATTGAGAGACCTCAGCTGATTCGAGCAAAAGTGCCAATTGTGAAGTTCAGGGATAAAGTCAGGTAAGTAATTATTGAATTCCCTTTTTTCAGTTGCTTTAGATCATTTTTAGTTATTCTTTTGTTGTAGATAATTAAGAAATGTATGCTATAGCATAATAGTTTATCTTCATCGGTTTTTAGAAATCACTTGATTTGGTCTTTGAAATGAGTTTTTAAAATAGTCTGATCAATTCTTCATGTTTAACTGTGCTTAGTTATTCTGCTTGACATTTTGAATATTTGAGACTATCCAATTTAAAGAAGATGTGCATATTTATATTTCAGATTTTTGTCATCTCATTCCTTTTGGAAGTGTAATAACACTCGTAAGAACATATCTTAATTGATGAAATTTGATGTATATTTATATTAAGGGGATTGTTGTAATTATGTCTATCTATATATTCTACCATCCTGAGTTCTGACATTTCTTATGAGCATTGGAATTAGAATCTTTTATGTAATATCTGAATATGAAATGTAAATAGTGAAGTGTAACTATTTCATTGGTTAAAAAAGATGTTGTTTTCTAAAAAATAGATAGTATTGTGATAAATCAGGTTTTTCTAGCCCAGTTTTATAAAAGTAATACTGAAATTGTTTGTATAAATATAAGTGTAAATATATACACAGTTGATCCTCATTATTCATGGATTCTATATTTACAAATTCTCCTACTTGATGAAATTTATTTTGTAACCCCCAAGCCCCCCCAAATTAGTACTTGCACCACTTTCGTGGTCATTAGTAGATATGTGCAGAGTGGGGAAAATTTTGAGTCACCCAATGCGCACATTCCCAGCTGAGATTAAATAATGTGACACTCCGCCTTCTTGTTTCAGCTCTTATACTGTAAACAGTTGTCCTTTTCACAATCTAGTTAGTGCTATGATTTTTACAGTTTTGTGCTTTTTGTGGGTGATTTTGCTGTTTAAAATGGCCCCTAATCATAGGGCTGAGATAACTGTCTAGTGTTTCTGTGTACAAAGCTGTGATGTGCCTTATGGAGAAAATACTTCTGTTAGATATGCTTCGTTCAGGCATGAGTTACAGTGTTCTTTGCCATAAGTTCACTGTTAATGGATCAACAATATATTAAATAAGGTGTCTTTAAACAGAAACACACAAAACAAAGTTACATATGGATTGATTGATGAAAATGTTGTGTCTGGAGACTCATGGAAACCTAACCCTTTGTTACCCTAGGAGTAATGGTTTAGTATTCACTAATTCAACGTTTGCAGCAACTTTATAGAACATAACTACTGTGAATAATCAGAATTGACTGAATATATATATATATATTTTAAACAAATGTTTAGATATATGCCTGGCTCAGACCTTCTGCTCCATTCATCCAAATATCCATCCAATCTATAAATATTTATTGAATTTGTATCAAGTAAATAACAGAGTTTTCTAAAGCATAAAGATATTAGGAGATAAAACATTAAACATAAATAAAACTATTAGCTAATTATAATTGTTTTTTAAAATTTTTGGTTGTAGTTATACAAACAATTTTATGCTTTTTCAGTTTAGGATTATTCTACAAGTGTTTTTCATTGTTACGTTTTCTTTAAAATACCATTTTATAATTCTTCTCTATACAAACCATTAAACACTCCCCTTCTAACATCCAAAGATAACTGATGTTAACGTTTTGGTGTAAACTTTTCAGTCTCTTTTCTATGCATATGAATGCATAAGAATTTTTAAAATTAAAATTGAGATCAGACTTTTTTACTTAACCATATATCATGAGCACTTGCTTATATCATTAAATATTTTCTGGCTTCATTTGTAATGGCTTTACAGTATTTCATTGAGTGAATATAGCATCATTAACCTACCTATTCCTCTGTTAGAATAAGCATTTTGTGCATAAAATTTTTTCCATATTAAGGATTACTTTAGTATTGCCAGAAGTAGAATTTAAAACAAGTACTGTGGATAGTTTTAAATCTCTGAATTCATATTTTTGAAAAAGTTTTTAATTGCAGACTTGTTTTCATCTAAGTTTTTTCCTCTCTATTGAGTTATATAGAGGAAGTACAAACTAGTTTCAGTGATAATACTTGCACAAACACGAATAAAGAATATAATTCCATTGTTACCATAAGTTTCCCAAAGCCAAATTCATATGGTATCTGAAGTGTTAATGCCACTATCTATTTTGTCCATGTGAATGGATAGTTGAAAGATTATGGGATTTCTTTCCCCAAAATAAGAAAATCTGAATAGTAAATTTCAAATTTTATAATTAAAAGATGTAGAAAGGAATTTTGTTAGGTTTTTATTTTAGGCAGTCTTTTCCTAGAAAAACTCATTGTTTAAAAGAAGTTGGACCTGATAGTATATATGGGTCCATTACTTATACAGTAAGTAATCTTTCCTTTTATTTTGAGAGTTTAGCCATTCTTTGTAGATCCCATTATTATTGCCCTATTTTCTAAGTTATGAATTGCATGATATCTTTGCCTTTGAAGAAGTATGCCTTCTGTTATGTGTTTGACTGTTATGGTTCTTCCCAGATATCGGTAGCTAAATTTGGCATGATATTATAATTTACCAACCTTTTTGGAGGGAATATAATGTGTAGACAGAGCTTGTATTTTTTTCACCTGTACTGTATTTGGCTTTTTACTCCTATTGTTTTGAAGCAAATGATGCTGTAATTCCAAATTAGGTGAGAATATATAATGTAGTGGGTTAACTTGCCCAGAAATGTTTTTGGTCACATGATTTTGTTTATCTGGAAAGGATTGCAAAATTTGAAAATTTCTTTTGGTAAAGATAATTGGAGTCTTAGCAGTACATTACAGATCTTTTAACAATAATCCTATTTTATATATATATGTTTTTTTGTTTTGTTTTGTTTTTGAGGAAGATTGGCTCTGAGCTAACATCTGTTGCCAATCTTCCTCCTTTTTTCCTTTTTCTCCCCAAAGCCCCAGTAGATAGTTGTATGTCATAGTTGTACATCCTTCTAGTTGCTCTATGTGGGATGCTCCCTCAGCATGGCTTGATGAGCAGTGAGTAGGTCCACGCCCGGGATCTGAACCAGCAAACCCCAGGCCACTGAAGCAGAGCACGGGAACTTAACTGCTCTGCCACCGGGCCGGTCCCTATTTTATATTTTTAGTACACTGTATCATATTAAAATGCTGTACTGGGCCAGCCCCGTGGCTTAGCGGTTAAGCGCACGCGCTCCGCTGCTGGTGGCCCGGGTTCGGATCCTGGGCGTGCACCGACGCACCGCTTCTCCGGCTATGCTGAGGCCGTGTCCCACATACAGCAACCAGAAGGATGTGCAGCTATGACATACAACTATCTGCTGGGGTTTTGGGGGGAAAAATAAATAGATAAATAAAATTAAAAAAATAAAATAAAATGCTGTACTGAGTACGTCTTCATTCTTATTTCTTTAGGGCCTCATTGTGAAGTCCTTGGTCTTTGGGACCATGCTATTTTTGCATCATTGGATGGATGGATATTAATTTAGTTACTAGGGAATTAGTTTAATTTGTACTTGAGCTAAAATTTTTTCTTTTTTTTTTTTAATAGTTGTGTGGAGTTCGACTTGAATGTAAACAATATTGTTGGAATAAGAAACACATTCCTTCTCAGAACTTATGCATACCGTAAGTTTTTTGTTTGTTTCTAAATAATTATCAGTTTCCCTGTTTATCCTTCCTTCTTTATTTCTTTTTAAGATGTTTGTAGTAAATGCTGACATTTCTTTGCTTGTGGTTGTGTATAATTTCTCATTTTATTGTATGCATAATATACTGCTACACTACAATCGTATACTACCAGAGTTATAGGTCAATAAAATGAATTTTAATAATACATAATTTTAAAAGGTAACTAAGTTACATTTTAGAAGTAAGATACATTTATGGTGAACTCAGTATTTAATACACAAGGAGGCAATGTTCTTTTTATTGGCATGGAATTGGGAAGTGATGTAAACTTTCAAAGAAACTGTAATATCTTCTTACCATTTTTAAGTTTTAATTTTACTTGCAGTTGAAAATCGAGTTCGTCCGTTAGTACTGGTGATTAAGAAGTGGGCGAGTCACCATGAGATAAATGATGCCAGTCGTGGTACTTTAAGCAGCTATAGTCTTGTATTGATGGTTTTGCACTATTTACAAAGTAAGTATTACAGGTATTTCCCAATTTTTTAAATGGAAATGCAGTTAAACTTCATTATAGTGTCTTCTCTGTTGACCCTATCTTCAAATAGCATTGTTTTAAAAAGTTCTTTGTAAGGCCCATAAAACCATATTTCCTATTTTGTACAAATGTTTTAGAAATGTTATTCCCTGGAAAACATTATAAAGAAGTTTCACTGTGTTTTTATTTTTTTGATGGTTTTCTGTATTTGCTTTTGTATTCAAAGAACTTTTACCACTGTATTGTGGACCCATTATCTTGAGGCAGATGAATGTTTAGAAGGCCTGTAAAAATAAACTCAAGCAGTATTCATTATGTTTTTTATTTTTCGCTTGAGACAGAAGTTAAATGGTTTTCTTGTTGGTCAAGAGCAGCTTTTATTCTCTGTGAGCTGACATGGAGATTGGGTGAAAGACTTGATGTTAATGTGATAGAAGACCATTTACCAGGATGTCGAGGGTCTGATCTATTCTGAGTTGATATTTTCACAGTTTAGAAAGCAGTGTTGTAATATTTATATTCATACCCTTTGATTCCAAGATTCCATTTCTAAGAATTTATCCTGAGGTAATTATCAGGGATGCATATATGGATTTATATGTAAGGCTGTTTTTCGTGGTGTTTGTTGAAATAATAAAAAATTAAAAATAATCAAAGTTTTTAAGAATGGGAGAATGATTAAATTAATTATAATAAATCCTAATGTGGAATTTACAAAGCCACTAAAAATCATGTTTTTAGGATATTTAATGATTTAAGAAAATATTCATGATACCAATTTTATTTAAAAAATGGTAACTGTATTTGAGTTTGTGTATATATTAATTTGTATACAAATATTGAAAAGGTATGTGCCAAAAATTTATCAAGGGTTATATATGGACAGTGGTATTTGTTTTCTTCATATATTACTGTACTTGTAGATGTTTTATAATATATAAATGAGAGTGTATTTTTATTTGAATGATAGATAAATTTTTTTGAGTTAGTAGGAGAAACTTAAAATAGTTAAATGGGCCAAAGTTTTATGAATCAGTCATCATAAAGGTTAGAGAATCTTCATCTTTGTTGTTAAAAAATTTCAAGCTAATTATAATATATGTATTTTTATTGCTTACTAGTCTTGCATGTACACTAGTTTGATGATTGATTTGCCCCTCTGAAAAGCCTTTGAAGCGTACGATGTTGGCTGTTTTAAATACTACTTTATATATGGCGCATATGAGTTATGCCTACATTTAAAGCCAGTTCAGTCTGAACTCTTAAATACTACTTTATATATCACTAATCGTTTTTTGTCCAATTTTGCAGATCAGTCTGAAACATATTACTTTTCATGCTTTTTTAGTGAACTCTGTCCTCTTGTGGATTGCAGTTCACTTTTATTAAAAATTGAATATATTAGAAATATTTATCAAATATAAAGAATAATATGACAGATACTTATGTACCACCACCTAGTGTCTATTCATTTTTTAGTTTGTTGTGATTTAAAAATTAGATTTGAGAAAAGCATTTAACATGTATGAGCATCCATAATATGTGCCTTATCCTTCCATTCTTATGGTTTACATCAGAAATTTTTTTTTGCTGAAGAAGATTTGCCCTGAGCTAACATCTGTTGCCAATCTTCCTCTTTTTGCTTGAGGAAGATTTGCCCTGAGCTAACATCTGTGCCAGTCTTCCTCTATTTTGTACGTGTGTCACCACCACAGCATGGCTGCCAACAAGTGGTGTAGGTCTGTGCCTGGGAACTGAACCTGGGCTGCCAAAGCGGAGCATGTGGAACTTAACTGCTAGGCCACAGGACCAGCCCCTAGAAATTTTAATTTGGTTGTCTTCTTTAGAAAAATGTACTTTAATCACAGGTGCCCCAAGGTGGTTTTGTAAGCAAGTTGAAAATGCAAACATTAGTATTTTGCCAGTGTAATGAAATCATGTTAAAATTTGGTTTAGATTTTGTTAAACATATTTTACTCTTGACAAAGTGGTCCCATTTACTGAGGTGGTTTGTAGTTGAAGTACTATCATCAGCCATTTCTAGGTCTTTGTTAAAGGACATCAGCTACCCAGAGCTCATGTAACTCTATACTTTGGCAAATTTAAGCTACTTCTCCCTAGAAGAAATTAGAGAGATTGAAATAAGTAGTTGCTTTTTCTGTCACGAAAGCCTCTGCAAGGTGTATTGAACAGTTCCGGATCTGCCATAGTGAACTTGTGTTTTGTGATTTGGCCAAGTTATTCTACCTCTCGGGCTTTAATATTCTCATCTGTAGCAGGAATAGTTGGATTAGATGACCTTTAAGTTTTGTTTAACTTTTTAAATGCTTTAATATCTTTTCTGCCATCAACAGAGAAAGGAAACAGGTCCTCTGTTTGTAGAAAGGTTGAAAAGATTAACTAAAGCATTTTCTAGAATGGATTTCAACAGTCAGTAATAGACTACATATGCTTGAAAAGGTGACTGATGAAAGCATGAGGGGAAAAACCCATTGACAAGATTTTAATGGCAATCTAAGATTAAGAGTTAATAATAAAGGCAAAAGTATCAGTTGGTTAGAAATAATAATATGAATGAATATTCATGGATTATTTGCTGTGTTACCGGGTACAGAACTGTCTTAGGCATTTTTAAATTGTTTTTGCATTTTCAAAATTAGTGGTTGCTTAGTGTTGTTGAAGATCTATTTTTAAGTTGAATTTTTTTTTTTTTTTGTGAAGAGATCAGCCCTGTGCTAACATCTGCCAATCCTCCTCTTTTTTTGCTGAGGAAGACTGGCCATGGGCTAACATCCGTGCCCATCTTCCTCCACTTTATATGGGACGCTGCGACAGCATGGCCTGCCCAGCAGTGCGTCGGTGCATGCCCGGGATCCGAACCAGCGAACCCCAGGCCACCGCAGCGGAGCGTGCACTTAACTGCTTGTGCCACCGGGCTGGCCCCCCTAGTTGAATTTTTGATGAATCAGTATGGAATGTTTACGTGTATAAATTTGTGAGGCCTGACCAGAAAGCTCTCATCTGAACTGCAGGCAAAGTAAAATCTTATAGATTAGCTATATTATCTTTTGATCAGATATTGCAGTAATAAGTTTTTGTTTTGTCTTATTTTGCTTTTGAGAGAGAAATTTAAAAAATTGAAGTTCAAAATTTTGAAGTCAAAATAGATGTTACAGGGCCAGCCTGGTGGTGTAGTGGTTAAGTTTGTACGCTCTGATTTGGTGGGTGACCCGGGATTTGTAGGTTCGGATCCCGAGCGTAGACCTACACACTGCTTGTCAAGCCATGCTGTGATGTGTCCCACATACAAAATAGAGGAAGATTGACACAGATGTTAGCTCAGGCCCAGTCTTCCTCACCAAAAAAAAAAAAAAAAAAAGATGTTTCAGCCACATTCTTCCAGAATGTTTGTTGCTTTAGAGTAAAGTAAATATTTGAAGAACTACTAAATGCTTTGAGGTTACTATCAGGAGAGTGTTAATAACTGCCACAATACACTAATTGCTTCTGTAATGACTAGTGTTTTTAAATCATTAAGGTTGTCGGATAAGGGATTTACTGAATGATATCCCTGCCCCCAAAGCTTCCAAATTGCTTAGTTTAAAGGCTCTTTGTCTATTGAAAAACCCTAAACCAGTGGTTAGTATTTGTTTTTTCTCTTCTAGCATTCTAGTTATGATTCTAGAATGAATAATTTTTTTTTCTAATTCTCTATAACCTTTTCTTCATCTTTTTTTAAATTATAATTTTAATTTATTAGGAGTATTTAGTGGGAAAGAAATTCAGGTTTTTAATTAAATAAACTAATTTCTAGTAAGATTTTCCAATTCTGTATTGTAACAAAATTTATTAGAAAGCCATTTTAAAATGTTATACAAATATCGAGACTTTTAGAATTCAAGTGTCTGGGGCTTGAGTTTATTTGTAGGGTCTTCTAGAATTTTGAGCATTTTAATACCTCTGGGAAAAAAATATGTATCCTTACTTTCTAAGAGGGATTCTGGTAAGTAATAAGTGAGTTTTTCCCCCTAATATTTTCAGTCATACACTGTGAACATTCCAGACTGTCATGGAATTTTATTTTATTGTAGTTTTCAACTTGGGAATAAAGCATGATACAGAAGGGAAATTTAAATACTATGTGGTATAAATTTGTACATTTATAATCCTAGTTGGAGACTATGTAAGTTGGTCATAATGGTCTATGTAAGTTGGTCATAATGGTTGATTATACGTACATTAATATATTCCAGAAGTCATTTAAGAAAGTTTTTGTTAAATAGCAAATTAGAAGTGAATTAAAGATTGTTACTGAGTTTATTTAATTATATGTAGTATTTCTAATTCTTAAATACATAGTTCATCATATGGTACTATATTTGGTCTTTAAAGAAATCTTGAACATGCATTATTTGTATCTCACCATACTCAAGACATGTTTTAGTTATTTCTTATATTGTGAATATTAGGCACTTTGCCATCATGCCTTTCCATTTACATTATAGTTATGTGAAATTACTGTTAATGCATTAAAAGAGATTGGCTTTGGATAAAACTATTGAAGGGTGAAGAATGACAACTAAAAAATAGAGTAGTATATGAAGATGATGATTTCTTGGTATGAAATTTTATTTATTTTATGGCAGTTTGGTGCAAATCTGATTTAGATTTCTAACTTTGTTAAGGCCTTCTTTTAAAAAATTAATTAATGGAGGCCAGCCGAGTGGCGTTGTGGTTAAGTTCGCGTGCTCTGCTTCAGTGGCCTTGGGTTCGAGGGTTCGGATCCCAGGCATGGAACTACACACTGCTCATCAAGCCATGCTGTGACAGCGTCCCACAAACAAAATGGAGGAAGATTGGCACAGATGTTAGCTCAGGGACAATCTTCTTCAGGCAAAAAGGGGAAGATTGACAACAGATGTTAGTTCAGGGCCAATCTTCCTCACCAAAAAAATAAATAAATAACATAAAATTAATTAATGAAGTTGAAGGTTTTTTCAAGTAGATCAATTTCCTGAAACTATCTCAATTTTGGTGTTATTGTTTGTTAGAAGAAATTAAGTAATAAAGACACAGTTGTGACAGAACTGTTGTTCTTTCATGATATAGTATCATTGGCCTGTACTTAAAAATTTTTTTGATAGCTACATCCATCTTAACAACGTCCGTTCAATATCTGTAGAACAATTGTTGTCTTGCTTATTTTGTGTGTGTCTAATGTTGGACCAAATGATGTGTGTCCATTTGTCGATGGCCTGTTGTTCTAAAACCATGTAAGGAACATTGGTTTACATAGAAATATATATATAGCTTATTAGCAAATCTTAAATTGTCAGCTTAGATATATTTTGAATTTAAATCTTTAGGTATCAGAATTAATTTCACAAAGTATATATGGAAACTGTTGAATTTTACCAGAAACCCTTATAGTCTCATACCTGGAGTATAGCTGACAAATTATTGTTTTGTAAAATGAATTATGTGAATCACGGAAGCTTTAAACTTTTTCTTTTTATAGCCCTACCTGAACCCATCCTTCCATCCATCCAAAAAATTTACCCAGTAAGTGTTTCTTATAAATTATTATAATACGTATGATAATAAGTATATGTGGAAACATTATATGCAGTATTAATGTGAATATAAAAGTAGTAATAGTTACCTTCTAAGTATATGATAACATTTTCTATATAGGCTGAGTCATTGGCCACTAGAACATTAAAAATGTTTCATATACTTTTTCAGAAGACTCTGATATTTTATTTCGTTGTTGGCAATTTGGTCATTTATATTAATGGTGGAATTTTTTGCATGATGCTTATGATTATTACTAATGGTAATTAAATATACTCAGCTGGTCAAGGCCCATTTGGACTCATTCCAGTTTTCTTCATGCTATTTGTAAATATAGTTTTACAGCATTTCTTTAGTTAGGAACTCAGAAGTTTTTCAGCCCAATGTATGTATACTTTGAAAGCAGGGAAAACAATTAAGAAGTTGAACAATTGGATGATCATTTTATCTTTCATTTGGTTTTGCCAAGTAATACACCAAAAGAGGAAACATTGGAAGTTAATTGGAAACATTCAAGAAATGAGGTGTGCCTACTAGAAAAAGTTTAGTATGTACTCAGTTTGAGTTGAGAGAAATCTAGGTAATGTACATATTCACAATCTACATGAATACTTTGTTTCTTTTCCAATTTTTCGTGTTCTTTTTTCCAGAATTCTCTGTTTCCTTGTTTTATTGTTTTACTATTTCTGTTTTTCTTCATAGTCATCTTTGTTTCTGGTTTTATTTGGAAATAATATTTAAGCTACTTGTTTAGAATGTTTGATCAACCTTCTGAAACCACCTAATTTTTACTCCTTAGTTTCATAAACTTATAAGAACATCTATGTTCTAAACTTACTGAATGGCTGTATTACAAAGGAAAACATAATATCTAGCTTGAGTGAACAACTTTCAAAGAACTTATTTATTTTATATGTATCACATAAAATATAATAAATATACTTGTCATGGAACCTAAGTTAAGTATAACTTAATCTTTGATAATTGAGAAGAACTGATGTTGTTTTTGAACATCACTTAGTATTATAATGCACACATGCCAGGTGCTGGATAATAAAGGATTCACTGTCAGAGTTTTGCTGAGTGGGGGCCTCCCAGTTTGTGGTGGGTAACCTACTAAAAGACGCAGTTTACTGGGGCTGGCCCCGTGGCTTAACGGTTAAGTGCACGTGCTCTGCTGCTGGCAGCCCGGGTTCGGATCCCGGGCGCGCATCGACGCACCGCTTCTCCGGCCATGATGAGGCTGCGTCCCACATACAGCAACTAGAAGGATGTGCAGCTATGACATACAACTATCTACTGGGGCTTTGTGGGAAAAAATAAATAAATAAATTAAATTAAAAAAAAAAGAATAAAATTCTCTTTAAAAAAAAAAAAAAGACGCCATTTACAAGAACCTTCCTGCTGGTTATCTTACCTCCTGCTTCTAAAACTAATTACTGCTATTATATTGAGTTTCCAGTATAGCTAGGGATCAATGTTTATGCTTTCTTAAACATTATGAAAAATGAAAGCGTCAGAAAGTATAGAAATAAAAGTTAACTTGAACTTTTGGGCCTTATTCTTGAATACTTTCTTCTCTCCGTAAAGTATTGATTCTTTTGCTCATACTGAAAGGTCAAAGATAATGACTGGGTGTTTAATATTTTGTTTTGTTGCCCCAACTTTATTTTTCTTTAAGACCTAGGTTTCAGTGTAGAAAGAGCTGCATATATTTTTCAGCATACAAAGGATCTGATAGTTAAACTTATCCTTTAAAGAATCTATTATTGTATATTGGATAGATACTTCTACAGAAATCTGACTTAAAACCCTGTGCTATGTGAAACTCTTTTTACTAATATAAAATACTGATGAAATTTCAGTTTAATGCACTATGCTTGAGGACAGAGGTATTGCTTTTATGATAAGATACCCAGGTTCTTACTAGTACATTCTAGTTTGAAGAGTCTTATTTTTACTTCTTTGTTTCATTTTTGTAATCATCTGGCTTTCCCCCATAACGGAGTCCTCACTTCTCTTCACATACACTACATCTGACCCTATACACTCTCCACCTCTCTTTTGCTAATAATCTTATTTCTATATTTGTAGCAGGAAAATAGATTTATTACTAGCCCAGCCCCAAGGCCTTAAAAAATACCAGTAGCAAGACCTGCTTGATTTAAGAATGTCTTAATTTGCTTTCAAGTAAGTTTACATTGTTGTAAATATTTAAAGCACCTTATCTTTACTGTAAGATTGGTGCTTACAGTGGATAAGGACTTACTATCAGCCTTTTTGTTTTATCTGAAACCTGTAGGCTAATCATCAGAGCGCTTTTCTCAGTGGTCCATCTGATGGTACAAGCAAGTCAGCTTGTTTCTTATTACTAATAACCATCATTTGTAGTATCTGTTTTATGTCAGCACACTGTAAATTTTATATACAATATCTTTAATCCTAAACAAACTTGTAAGGTATTCTCTTTGTTTCACAGGTGAGGAAACTAGAAAGGTTGCATGATTGATCCAAGCTAGTCACAGTCACAGACTAGTCTGGATAGTCACAAATTATATATCCAGAAACTGGTATTTCTTTCATTATATTATGCTGCCTGAGGAAAAGCAAAATGATAGTAATATTCACTAACATATCATTTCATCTTATTTCTGTTTATTACATTTTATTTGTGTATATCTGATTATATATCTGATTGTTCCTATACCTTTCTTAAGAAAAGCAGATATGACAAAATTTCACCTTATATAAGTAAGTTTGAGAATGACTTAAAACTTGACAGTAACAACAAAAAAAATTGTTACTTTACAAGGGAACAAGGTTCTTTTAGATTATTATTATTATTTTTTTTTGTGAGGAAGATTAGCCCTGAGCTAACATCTGTCGCCAGTCCTCCTCTTTTTTTGCTGAGGAAGACTAGCCCTGGGCTAACATTGGTGCCCATCTTCCTCTACTTTATATGGGACGCTGCCACAGCATGGCTTGACAAGCGGTGTATCGGTGCGTGCCCGGGATACGAACCCTGGGCTGTCAAAGCAGAGTGCGTGCACTTAACCGCTACGCCAGTGGGTCGGCCCTAGGTTCTTTTAAATTTTGAGCTTTTCTAATATAAGTTGAAATAGAATAAAAATATAAGTACTTCTCCTTTATGTGAAATACTTATGTTGATTTCAAAACTTTAAAAATCTCACTAAAGTCAAATATACTTTAAAGGAAATTTAGTGATTAGTCTTTAACATACATCACCAGATTAGTGGTGATCGGCATACGATTAAGCAAGCGTGGTAGGACTTCAATTTAGTTCTTTCTCTTTCAGGCAGAACTCCACGTAAGTACTCCATATCAGTTATTCTTTTCTTTGAGACCTTCCTCGACATTTATTTCTAGGGTCTAATAATTCATATTGTTAGAAAATTATGCAACTTAAACTTGTTTGCCTAGAGATGGAAAACAGTCATCTTTCATTTAAGCCATACATCGTTTTAAAGAAACGAGTACCAAGTTACCAAGTAAAATGAGTTACCAAGTAAAAGTTTAGCCAATCTCATTTATTCTAGAAAGTGCTTAATTGTCCAAAGGAAAGTGCTTAATTGTCCAAATTTCAAACTTTGAAGATAAAGTAAGATATTATGGCATAGCGTCAGAAAAATGATGGAATCTGACAAAAGATGCTTTTGTCATTTTTGGTAGGGAGTTGTATAGGCAAAAACAGTGAGACTTTTCAAAGGATTACCTATTTAAATTTTTCTTACCCTGGCATTGATTACAGAGAAGTGGAAGATACGTATCTTCAAAAATACCAGCACTTAAATATCAATTGGAAAATGTTTTCAGGAATTAAGTCATTACACATTTGGTTATTAGAAGCCCAAAATAATATATAACCTTAAAGAGTAATAAAGATGTCTTCATCTTCAGACAGCAATAAATATAAAAAAAAAATTCTTTAAGAAATAGATGTTACATTATATCAGTTATTGTTTTTCCATGGATTTAGGTTGTAATTTTAAGGCTGCTTTTTTTTCCTTTGGCTTTTGGATTGCTCTTTATGAGCTTTCTAATATATTAGCTTAAGTTCTGCCCACCCCCATCCTGTCCGAAGTAGTGTATGTTCTTAAATACATAAATGCAATGGGGGAGCTCCCTTTTAAAAAAAATTCTTTGATGAAATCTTTCTTAAAGCAGAGAATCTTTCTGTAATGTGAATGATTACCAAAAATGGGGATTTGTTAGGGTTGAATGGAATTCCTACTTACTTGTAGCTTCTTTTGGACCCTATTTTTTTTTGAGTTTGGAGTTCTCCCTCAGTGTATATGACATGGCCGTTTTTTTATATGACCATGGAAAAGAACAGTGGAGCTAAGGAAAGAGTGGCCAAATTGTTGGTGTCCAAGGTCATTCATCATTTTAGTAGAGTAGGTCTCACAGCTCTTCAGTTATAATCTCACAGTTGCTGATCTTTTTCTTTAAATTATTGAACAAAATAAAGATTTTAAAGGAGGTTCAAACAATTTAAAATCTCAGGTAAGAAAATGACTCTGTTCTATTTCAGCATCTGTTTATAAGTTGAATGCTTATTGTGCTAGGTGCTAGAAATCAAAATTAGTAAGAAGCTTTCAGAGCAGAAGCTATTAAACAGTGACTCATTTTTCTTTTCCTTGTCATTTGAATTTACGTTATACCTTTTTGTTTAATTTGCCAGAAAATAATATTTATATTTTACAGTTTTAAATAACGTTGTCCTAAGTCCGGTTTTATGCTTAACAAGTAAGAGACAAAAGGTAGTAGAGGCGGTATATCTGCTATTCCTTCTGCTTTTACTCTTTATTATAAATTGAGCCGTCTCTCCTTTTCCCCCTAGTCTTAGAGACAAATACAATTTCTACTTGAGTCTTTTAATGTAATACTAAATCTGTTAGAAGTGTAAGGGGAAGACGTAAGTTTAGGAGTGTCAGCTTTGTGAATTGTGGTTGGAGTAGAGGTTTTCTTCTGAGAGAAAGGTAATTATTTCTTTGTAGTTAAAAATTATTGATAGAATTATAGGTAATGGGGCAGGGGAGGGGACTTTTTATTTTCTTGCTTCTTTGTTTTTGCTGCTGATTTTTGAGGATTGCCATTAAATAGATGCACTACCCTATTTCTCTGTAATGCGACTTAGTTATTTGGGGAGCCTCTATTTTTTAATGTTGGAGTTATTTAGACATTACTAATTGAATTGATGTCTATAAACCCAAAGTCGATCTGTTAGATAGTTGGGTATCTTAAGTGTAGTTGTCATTCTGCTGCCTTAACCAATTGCTTTTTTTTTTAAAAATGTATTTCTACTCTGACAGCAAAGGGGAGTATAGAGAAAATCCTTCTTGAGGACACTATGCAGATTACCTTAGATTATTTTCTAACATATGAATATGTATTGCTTGAGAATCTCTATAGTTCATTTAGGATATTTTAGAACCAAAACTTACTGCTAATACAGGAAAGATCGGGTATGAAAATGAATGACATAGCATAGGCAAAAAGAGTAAGTACCCATTAGTATTTTTTCTAATAAGGGTGTTGTTTGGGCCTGGATTGCAAGCAAATATATCCTCCTTTATGAATATAAGTGGTGAAAGTTTGCTGAATACTACTTGCTGGTATGATTCCTATCTTCCTACTTTTCCCTGCCCTCTTTGTCTTTTCAAGTTTAATTCATGTTGAACGTCTGTCTTCCCTCTAAGATACAAAATACAAAAATGAAATGAAACAAAATTTTAAAAATAATAAAATGGGTATGTGTACTATTCATATACGCAAGTTACTTTTATGGCCTTTGAGAGAGATTTTAAGTGGCAGTTAGAAAAAGCTCTTACCTTGTGCTTGATATAGCTTTCATAAAGTAGGTACCTTGTAGGTATAATTAAGAAGGAGATATATTTATAAAGAAATCTATATATTCTTGGATGGAATCTTGGTATGTACAGTAAGGATTTATTTAGGAATCAAAAAATTTTGCAGGGCCAGCCCCATGGCTTAGCAGCTAAGTGCATGCGCTCTGCTACTGGCGGCCTGGGTTCAGATCTTGGGTGAGCACCAATGCACCGCTTGTCCGGCCATGCTGAGGCAGCGTTCCACATACAGCAACTAGCAAGATGTGCAACTATGACATACAACTATCTAATGGGGCTTTGGGGAGAAAAAAAAGGGGAAAAAAAGGAGGAAGACTGGCAATAGATGTTAGCTCAGGGCCGGTCTTCCTCAGCAAAAAGAGGAGGATTGGCATGGATGCTAGCTCAGCGCTGATCTTCCTCACAAAAATAAAAAAAAGAAAATTTTGCTGTCGTAGGGCTCCATTGGTTAACTGAGTGGTATACCTCAGCCAAGGATTAGAATATCTTAGTTTTTCAGGTATTTTCTGGCCTACTACAGACACTGGTGAAATCATTAGTGGGAGAAAATCTTCAAATTTCTAAATTGACAACATAAAGAAAATTTCTTCTCACTTCTTCAGAGAGCCTTAGGTCAGGATTAATAAAGTTTTTAGTGTGTGTTCTAAATGGCCTTACGTTTTCCCCTTTTTCTTTTTGACAGGAATCTTTCAGTCCTGCTATACAGCTGCACCTTGTACATCAAGCTCCATGTAATGTTCCTCCTTACCTCTCAAAGAATGAATCAACTCTTGGGGACCTCTTACTGGGCTTTCTTAAATATTATGCTACAGAATTTGAGTAAGTGAAACTTCGAATTGTTTTTATTCATTTATGTATAAGTGAACGCTACAAATTTGGTCAGAAGCTTTATTTGTTAATTTCAGTGTTATAAACTTGTCCAGAAGTGTGCAGTTTATAAAAATTAATATCTAATGATTAATTATTAGAAATAAAATAGATTTCACATTCCTAGCTAGTAAGAAAATTATAGTTCAGTAAGGCCAATTTTAGTTGATTTCAATAGTTGATCACATTTTATGTTTAGCTGCCTCTTTTCATAGTAGGGCCTGAACAAATGTTTGTGTTGGTCCTATCTATGTAGGTGCTGTATAGTTTGGAACATCTATTTTTTAGGAACTTAAAATTTATAGTAAAAAAAAACAGCTAAGGCAAACTTGGAAAATGATCTGCTTAATACTTGATATCCGAATAAATAGTTGTTTTAGTATGATATGCAAATCAAGGAGTACTCCTTTTCCCTTTTTTTTTTGAGAGTGATGTGTAAACATGAAAAATAAAGTGTATAATCAGACTAGACATAACTGAAGGTTCTTAGGGGAGTTCTTCGTCCACATAGAGTGGGATTAGCGGTTGTTCATAGCTTTTCTGATCAATTTAGAAAAACTTGAAGGAGGAAGAGCGAGAACTTAGGAGCTGTACAAAGTTAGAGGAGGAGGGTACAGTGACCATAGGGTACGACTTGGAAGAGATTTGGAGAGGGGAATAATAAGAGTAATAGTAATAAATTGCAATTACTAGGTGGGAAAAACTGTTCTAAACATATTATATGTATTATCTCATTCAGTTTACATAATAACCATATGAGATGATGTTAGATTATGCCCATTTTGCCAGTGAGGCATAGAGAGAGGTGAAGAAACTTGCCCCAAGATCACACACCTAGGAGGGGGAGTATTTCAGATAGTTTTGACTACAAAATTCACACCATTACCTATGACACTTTACTGCAGTGTTAATACTGTTTTATCTGCTATAGTGCAGTAGCTCTAACAAACCTGACTCTTATAATTTGAAACATCAGGCATGAAAGAAGAAACATTATTTAAATTCCTCAAAGTAAAGCTTATACCCAACTGTTTGTGCCTTTGTTGTCTACAGTGGTGTCTCCAGTACCTAGCCCAGTGCTGGATAGTGGGTACTTGAAAAATACTTGTTATAAATAAATAATTTTGAAGCAGAAAGTAAGATCATGGACATGATTCAAAGATCCTTAAGATGACTTAAAAATTACTGAATTAGGTTAAGGAGTAGGAAAAGTGCTGGAGGAAAGTAGGTTAGTAAGAATGAAGTAATCATAATCCAGGTTAAAAATGATCAGGACCAGAATGTAAGTCCAGGCAACAAGGATAAAAAGGTAGGAGCTTTCATATATATAAAGATGAGGAAATATTTAAGACTATATGGGACATAGGACATAAGAGACTGTGAAGGTTATTCTAGAGTTAAGATTTGTAAGATGTTGCAAGAACAATAGCTAATGTTTAGTGAGGATTTGCCTTGTGTTTTACAGTATGCTGAGTGATTCCTTTGTATTATTTCATTTAATCCTCACAGTAACCCCGTGTCAAGCTGAGGAAATATGTGTACTTGAAATTTGCTCATGGCAGTACAGCTAGAGAGTGAGAGAACTAGGATTCGAATTCAGGTCCGACTCCAAAACCACATTCTTAATTGTTAGACTGTCGTGTCATGTAAATTAGCCATTGGGGGAAGTTTGTAGAGAGGGAAAAGGGTTCATAGAAGAAAGATATGTTTCTGCCATGTGTAGTTTAGGATTAGAGCATCTAGATACAAATACCTTGAAAATCACCTGCTTTGTTGGACTGAAACAAGATGGTAAATTTGCAGGTTTGTGTGTTAGTTTTAGTATTCACAGAAACTAGCTTGCTGTGCCAAATGACACTAGGGTGCTGATACTTGGAAAGAGGTTTTGAACTTCTGGATGCGTTTGTTATCACTATGATACATGAATTAGGAGACATCTTCACCTATTCTTTCATCATATAGTGCATTTGTCAAGTGCATTGTTGTTTCATACCACATATTTTCAGAAGTTTGACTGTAGGGAGCACAGCCACGAATGTAGTCATGGTAATGAACTAGGTGCGCAAAAGAATTCTGGCAGCTGTTGGAAATGTTTGTAAGGATTTCTTCTGAACTTTGAGATATTCAGCTTAAAAATTCTCTTTACTTGAAGGTAGAATTAAATACCTATTAAGGGATGCTTGAATATACAGTATAAGTGTTGCAGAAATTTTATATGGCCGTTTAAAAATTACTAAGATTTTCTTACCTACTTCACTCACAGCTTTCTCCTAAACTTTGGTGCTGAAAATTTTTAAAATGAAGCTAAGCTTCTAGAATTGTATCTGGGAACAGGGAATTGACAAAATAGGAAGAAAAAGGATCAGGTGACTCAGGGAATCTAGAAGAAAATACAGTCAGAATGTAATAATTTTGTATTTTAGCAAAACAAAAAAAATTTAAGTTCTAAATATCTTACAGACTCATAGATACTAGAGATTCTAGGAACCTTAAAAAGTACCTGTTTTATAATCCTCTTTATTGCCTGGATGCCCACATGTCATTACTGCTAGTCTATCTGCTGAATTAAAAATACATACCTGCATACTTAAACACATACATTTTTTAAAAAACTGAATTATAAAGGCCCAATTTTTCTATCTCCTTTCTTATTCTGAGTTTTTTTCTCTCATTTTATTTAATCAATAAATCATTGAGTGCCTACTGTATACCAAGCTATTTTCTATGCATTGGGATTATAACAGTTAAAAAAATGGGCAAAAATCCTTGTCTTCTTGGAGCTTACATTATAGTATGGAGAGAGAGACAATAAATAAAATGTATAGTATGTTAGATGATGATAAGTGGAGAAAAATAAAGCAAAAGCTAAAAAGGAGGTTCTGGTGTATGTAGTTGTTACAATTTTAATACCTGTATTGCATTTTAATACCTAGCATGGTGAGGGAAAGTCCCACTGAAAAGGTGACCTTTGGATAAAGACCTGACGGAGAGAAGTTGTGAGCTTTGTGTCTGTCTGGGAGAAGAGCTTTCCAAACTGAAGGAAAAGCAAGTGCAAAGACCTTGAGGTGGGGGTTTGCCTGACATGTTCAGGTAACAGAAAAGAGGCCAGTGTGACTGGAAGAGAATAAAAGGAAATGATGTCAGAGAATTAAGGAAGTCCACATCATGTAGGGGCTTGTAGTTAAATTTGATGATTTTGGCTTTTCCTCTGGGTGTTATGGGAAACCACTGGAGGGGTTTGAGAAGGGAAATGACGTAATCTGATTTAGTTTATAACAGATAAGAATAGACTGCCTGCTGGGTAAGAATAGAATGAAGGGAGCCAAGGGCAGAAGCAGGGAGACTGCTTAAAGGATACTTTAATAATCTAACAGAAATGATGTGGCTTGGATAAAGGTAGTTGCAGTGAAAGTAGATGAGAAGTGGTCAGATTCTGCTTATATTTTGATTTGCAACAGATTAGATGGGGCGTAAGAGAAAGAGAATAGTCAAGAATGACTTCTAAGTTTTTGGCCTGAACAACTGAAAGGATGGAGTTGCCATTAGGTGTGATGGAGAAGACAAGGGAGGAGCATTATTGGTTTTGAACATTTTAAGATTGAGATACTCACAAAATATTGAAGTGGAGTAGTTATTGAATAGAGAGGAGGATATACAAATCTAGAGTTCAGGAGAGAGGTCATGGTTAGAGCTATATATTTGGGAGTTGTATGCAGATAGATGGTATTTAAAGCTATGAAATTGTTTGAGAAAATCAAGGGAATATAGATAGAAAAGAGAAAACGCCCAAAGACTAAAACCCTTAGATACTTCAGTGTTAAGAGGCTCACAGGAAAAATGAAAGATATGAGAATATGTTAAATGACACAGTGAAGAGAGAGAGAGACAAATTCAGAATGTAGGTATTCTGTGAAACAACTGGCTTAGTCTCTTAAAAAGTCAGTGTCACTTAAAAAAAAAAAACAAAAAAACTAGGAGCGGTGGGGCCGGCCCCGTGGCGTAGTGGTTAAGTGCAGGCCCTCCGGGTTTGGATCCCAGGCACACACCAACACATTGCTTGTCAAGCCATGCTGTGGAGGCGTCCCATATAAAGTAGAGGAAGATGGGCACGGATGTTAGCCTAGGGCAAATCTTCCTCAGCAAAAAAAGAGGAGGATTGGCATTGGATGTTAGCTCAGGGCTGATCGTCTTCACACACACAAAAAAACATGGAGTCGTTTCCATATTAAAGAGATGGAACAATCAAATACAATGTATGAACCTTGATTGTAATCTGATGAGGGTGGAGGAATTATAAAAAGCATTTGAATTACTGTTAATTTCTAGATTGCTCTTGGTGTTATAAAAGAGAATGGCCTTATTCTTAGGAGGTGTATGCCAAGGGATAAAGAAAGTTTCATAATGTCTCCAGCTTAACAAATGGTTCAGTTCAAAACATACTCATATATATACACACACACAAGCAAATGTGGCAAAATGTTAATAATTGTTGAATTGTTTTTGAGTTTTATGCTTTTCAGTTTTTCTTTTTGAAAAAATTCATAATACAAAGATGAAATAAACATGAGATTAGGGATCAGAAGGAACTAATGTATAGTCTAAAAAGAAAGAATCATTGATAGGAGAAAAGCCAAGAGAACATGGTGTCTTAGAATCCAAGGGAAAAAATATTGTGAGGAGGAAGAGAGTGATTATTTGTGTCACATTTTTTGATAGATCAAGTACAAGTAGAAGATGAGAACTAAAAGCTGACCATTGGAGCATTGGTGTACGTGGATGCCACCTAGACCCTTAACAGGAGCGGTTTCTCTGGAGTAAGGGGATAAAAAGCATCACTGTTGTGGCCTCAAGAGAGAACAGGAAGGGAAGAATTAGATACAGTTAGTGTATCTAATCCTCTAGAGTTTACATACTTGTAAAGAGGAGCAGAAAAAACGGGGTAGAACTTGGAGGGTTAAGTGGGGTCCAGTTTTTGTTTTTAGAAAGGAGAAATAACCCATCTTGATGGCAAAATTGATGACACCAGAAAAAGACATAGTAAATTGTTGAACAGTATACTTGTTTGAGTCAAGAAGGGTTGGAATCTAGAGCACAAGTGGAATAGGAGCACAGATACTTCATTAATAATCGTGAGAAAAAGCAGAATGTGTGGATACGGATGAATGCGGGTAAATCGATGTGGTGGGACCTAGTGGAAATTATCTTTTGATTGGTTTAGTTTTTTTTTTTTAGTAAAATGAAGCATGGACATCAGCTGGGAATGATTGTGAGGGAAGAAATTTGAGAAGTGAGGAGAAGGTATGAATTGTCATGTAGGAGAATACAGGAATGAATTAGTTTTGGGAATATAGGATGATTGGTAGGTAGTAGCGTTTAGGCTTCTTTCGAGCTAAGTCATCTTGAATTTAAAGTGAATTTAAAGTGATCATGAATTTAAAGGTCAGCGTGGTTGCATATTTTTCTCCAGCCATGTTTAGCTGCATGGGAAAAGATTGGAGTAGACAAAGATTTAATTATGGTTGTGTTTCAGCCAAGTTAGTTCAGTGCAGCAAGTAAGAGAAGTGAGGGGATATGTAAGGAAGTGATTTAATAATTGACCATGGACAGAATTATTAAATTCTTGAAAATGTGAGCACAGGGATGCATATAAGACATCCAGATGGCGGTTTCTAATAGTTGTAAATGTTGGCCTGGGGCTTAGTAGAAAGGTCAGAGCTGGAGAAAAGGATATGGGAAAGAAACATCAGAGTATTGAGGCCTGAGATGGGTGCTCTAGCATTAGAAGATTGAAAGAGGCAAGGAAGGCCCTGTTGGACACCAGCAGTTAAGAGTCAGGCAGAAGAAGAGCCAGACAAAACAAAACAAAACACTTAGAATTAGGGTAAAATTTTCTCTCTAGAGAGAGGTTTGAAATCCCTAACAAAGTTTTCTTTTTGTTTGCTTCCCAGCCCTTAATAATAAAACAAAACTATATACATCTGTTCACTTAATTTGACTAGTCTTAGTATGTATGCAGCCATATGTTATCAGACCCATAATTTTGGCTTTGTTAGACTTAACTTTTTCTTTGTAATATTGCTGAAGACCACATTTCCAATTTAATCAGTCATCTCAAAGTACTTTGTCACGAAAAGAATGGCTAGAAGAGAGTTAATAGATGAGTCTATTATCATTACTGAAGAAAAGAAGCAAGCATTTTACTAATATAGAGTCAGTAATCTCAGTTTTATATTCAAAAGATTCATATATTATCAAATCTATTTTAGATTAATTATTAAGCCCCATGTCTGTTCTTCTATTCTTTTCTGAAACATCCCTCTTCTATAGACTATCTTACTTTACACTTTAATTATTGTGACAATAACCGATTTTCACATGGCAAGCAAATTATAGTAGAGAACTATAGTATGATGAAAGGCTTAGTTTAGCACCTGTTGTAAAGAATGAAATATTTAGGGAAAATATTTCTAAATTACCATTTGAATTCTACATTTAAATTCACCTCTGAGAGTAAAAATAGTATACAAGATATATATCATGTTTTATGATTTGAAATATTTAATAATTTAGAAGTATTCAAAAGTTCTTTGAAAATGCAGTTGATTAAATCAGTCTAAATGATAGTGATTAAAAATATTCTTTTTTTCCTCTAAAATACTTCAAATGATATGCATTATTTCAATAACTGCATTATTTGGGTTGATTATAGGTTGAAGCTTAAATGATACCTGCTTAGGGATGATAAAGTCAATATAGATGTGTTGCATATATTTCTGTAACCCAGTTTAGAACCAGGTACTGGCATGTAATAAAGTTCAGGACTGAATTTAATAGAGATATAGTGGTAAGGAGAGTTCCATTGATTTAAGGAAGTAAAAATTGTAATTTAACAACAGGGTATAGTATTTTAATATCCTAAACTCGTCTGAAAGAAAAAATCAATCTACCCCTTTTTAACATCATGTTTCCAATTTTAATTCTACTGCAGATTCAGCTGTTCTATAAATTGACGTTAGAAACAAGTAGTCTGGGCCGGCCCCGTGGCTTAGCGGTTAAGTGCGCGCGCTCCGCTGCTGACGGCCCGGGTTCGGATCCCGGGCGCGCACCGACACACCGCTTCTCCGGCCGTGCTGAGGCTGTGTCCCACATACAGCGACTGGAAGGATGTGCAACTATGACATACAACTATCTACTGGGGCTTTGGGGGAAAAATAAATAAATAAATAAAATTAAAAAAAAAAAAGAAACAAGTAGTCTCAGGAAGAAAGCTCATTTTATTAGTGAAATTTGTCTTCAGTGGTATAAAGTGAAGTAGCACAAAGTGTGATCCTACTGTAATCTTGTTTGGTTCAGGCATGTGGTCATATAACTCTCCCCTTTACATTGTTATTTTAAAGACAATTTTGGAAGCACATTTGGATCAATAGAGCAGTGTACTTCTTCTCTGTTTGGAGTCCATACTAACGAAGCTGCTGTGCATGAAGGTTCTAAAACGTCTTACTGTAACCAATACTAAGTATATCTCTTTGACAACTCGTCTTTAAAAAGCATAAATTCTGATGTATATATATATATTTTTTTTTTGTGAGGGAGATCAGCCCTGAGCTAACATCCGCGCTAATCCTCCTCTTTTTGCTGAGGAAGACCGGCTCTGAGCTAACATCTATTGCCAATCCTCCTCCTTTTTTTTTTTACTTCCCCAAAGCTCCAGTAGATAGTTGTATGTCATAGTTGCACATCCTTCTAGTTGCTGTATGTGGGACGCGGCCTCAGCATGGCCAGAGAAGCGGTGCGTGGGTGCGCGCCCGGGATCCGAACCTGGGCCGCCAGTAGTGGAGCGCTCGCACTTAACCGCTAAGCCACCGGGCCAGCCCGTGATGTATATTTTTAAAGAACTTAAAGCTGTCTTTGCAAAGTATTTTTAAGGTGTACTCTTTGTTTTTTTCCTGAGGAAGATTCGCCCTGAGCTAACATCTGTGCCAGTCTTCCTCTATGTTTTAGTATGTGGGCAGCCAGCACAGCGTGGCCACTAACAGAGCAGTGTAGGTCCACACCCAGGAACCGAACCCAGGCCGCTGAAGTGGAGTGTGCCTAACTTAACCACTAGGCCACCGGGTCTGGCCCTCACCTGTACTCTTGATAAGAAAAAACAGAAAATCATACTTCAAAGATCATTTTCACTTATCAAACTTCACAAGATGCAGTATTTTCTTGCATATTTAACATAGAAATTAATCAATTTTCCAGAAACAAATGCCATGTTGGACCACCATTATATTCTTATGGATTCTCTATCCGATAAGTAGAGGAAGAGTAGGATGAGTGTTGGAGTTGGAAGGTCCCAAACCATGGTCTTTGTCTTCTTACGATGAAGGAGGAGAAGGCTAATTAATGAAACGATGGAGAAGGCTAATAAATACGGCTGAAAAAAAGATATCAGCTATTCCCCAAACTCGTTTTTCTCTTGCATACAGGCTGAATGGTCATACGTTTTAGAATGTTCCTTGAAAAAAAGAAAATTGTATTTGTACAAAACTATTTTAAGTGTAAAGAAATTTTTGAAAAGCAGAATGTAAGGTTAGTACATACTAGAGACTGGATAATTTACCTTCAGTCATGCTGATAACATTGTTTTACATTTGAATAAAACTTCACTATTAACAGCTACATCTAATATACAACAGTAACACTGTTTTCATAGAGTGTTAATTTTGTTTTCCTAAAACAGCGTCTACTTGCTTCTATTGGAAAATTTTGGAATTTTTTCCCAAATCGTACAAATAGAGATGTACTTGAACAAAAATTATTTAATGATACCAAAAACAACACAAAAAGATTAGCTCTTTCTTAACAAATAAAAAATTCTTTCTGGGGTATTAACAATGAAGATAGTTTTTATGTTTTTTGCCTTCCTACACTTTCCTATTTTTCATTACTTTATTTATTCATTGAATATGTATTGAAAGCCTAGTTTGTACTAAGCAACTAGTTGAACAGTGAAAAAGATACAGCGTCTTGAAGCTTTCATTCTGCCTATGGGAGACACGCAATAAACAATGACATAATAAATAAGCAAATTACTAGAATATAAGTGCTGCGGAGAAAAAAGAAGTAGAGAAGGGGAAATGGGGATTGTGGTGCTGAGGATTGAGGCAAGTTTCAGTGTTCTATGAGAAAATCAGAGTAGGCCTTACTACTGATATAATAAAAAAAAACAGAAATTAAGAAAATAACATAATTAATGTTTTTCTTTTTATAGTTGGAACAGTCAAATGATTTCAGTTCGTGAAGCCAAAGCCATTCCCAGGCCTGATGGTATTGAATGGAGGAATAAATACATCTGTGTAGAAGGTAGCTTTCCCACAACTACTCTCTATTTACCATCCAGTTATCATGGTACTGAGAGAATTACTTGCATGATTTCAGCTTATATTTCAGTGAAAAGTAATACATTTATGTTCTGAAGTGGTTTACAAGTCTTTTAGTTATAAAATTTTAATTTAATTTTTAAAAATAATTTTAAATTCTTTAGTTGTAGGAAATACTAAATAAGAATTTAGGTGTTTAATCTTTCCAGTTGGTAAGATTTGAGCCTCTTTATGCATCCCTAATGTTTATAGTTGATTGAAACTTAATTTCATGACTTACAGGTGGAAGAAAATAGTATCTTCATGTGATGATTCTTACTGAAATAAAATGAGTCCCTTTATACTTAAAATATTGGTATCTAATACAAGCTAGATTTTTATAAATAGAAGTTCATTTTACTTTAAGAATTAAATGCTCTGGTTCTCTAAAATTAATTTACATGTAATTGAATGTTTGTTTGAGTCAGTGGGAAACTGACTTCAAGAGGCAAAATTGTTCTCACAGATGCCAAGTTGATGACTTTTGTAAATCTTGAGGTAAAAAAGAATAAAGGCTTGAGATTCAGCATTTGTAGGAAAACATCAAATTTAGAATATTTTAATCTTGGATTATATGCAACATCCTAAGAGTTTGTGAATATGAAATAAATCTCCTGCTTTTGTGTTCGGTTTGCTGAATTGCACAGTGGACGTATATTGTTTTAGTTACTTATGTTCTTTTGAATGTTAAACACTGACTGTTGTAAAGTGTGATATGTGATGTGATCCGATAGTTTGGCATATGGCATTATTCTATTTTAAAAAAAACAGTATTGTGACAGTAAACTCCTTTTTAAAATAGCCTTTCTAAGCAATAAAAAAAAAAATGAAAGGAGTTTTTAAAATTTTGGACCTGTTTAGGTTATATGACAAATCTAAAGCTAACCTCTCCATGAGATTTCCTATTCTTTCACACTTTTTCCAGATCTTTCCCCTCAGTTACGTTTCCTCTTTCTAGCAACTTCATTCTTTCTCTCTCTCTCTCTCTCTCTCTCTCATCCTTCCCTAGCAGCTTCAAGGCCTACATAGGTCTTCTCATCCTTGAAAAATACTCTTGGGCCGGCTTAGCAGTTAAGTGCACGCGCTCCGCTACTGGCGGCCCGGGTTCGGATCCTGGGCGCACGCCGACGCACCGCTTCTCCACCCATGCTGAGGCCGCGTCCCACATACAGCAACTAGAAGGATGTGCAACTATGACATACAACTATCTACTGGGGCTTTGGGGAAAAAAAAAACGAGGAGGATTGGCAATAGATGTTAGCTCAGAGCCGGTCTTCCTCAGCAAAAAGAGAGGAGGATTAGCACGTTGTTAGCTCAGGGCTGATCTTCCTCACCAAAAAAAAAAAAGGAGAAAAATACTCTTGATTTGATCCTACTAGCTCTTGTAAGTACTTTGTTTTTCTCTTTTTCAATGCCGAAATTCTTAAACTCTAGTTAATTTTTATTTACTGCTGGCATTATTTCAGCTATCCCATCTCACTCTTAATGCCTTTAGTTATCCTCCCTTTCTCACTATTATCTTCAGTTTCTTTGTCCTCTTACATAGAGACAGTTTCCTTGTCTCTATGTATGGACTCTTCTCTCTTATCTTGTGGGTAAAGGTGAGTGGGGTGGGGGTGAAGACGTGGAAGGTAATGTTGGAGACACACACACATAAAAACTCTTCCTTTGTTTTCTTCCTGTCTTCTCTACTTGCTATCTTGCTTTTCTCTCTTCTTTCATTGCCAAATTTCTCATTCAAGTTACTGTTCTCACTGTATCTTTTTCTAAACCATCCATTCACGTCATAATCTCTACAGTGTCTTCCATCCTCGCCAGTATTAAATCTCTACTTTCAAAGGTATTGACTTTTCTCCTGCTTGAACAAATCAGTGGTCTTTTAAATTAAAATTAAATTTAAAATGACCTTTCTGTGATACTTGACATTGACTACCTCTGTTGGATATAGTGCTTTATTCTTTTTGATAACTATTTATTCTTTAACTTATTTTTATTCCCCTAAGGGTTGATTTTTGACCCTCTGTAATTCTTCAGAAATCTTATCCACTTTTATGATTTAGACTTAACATACCTATGCTGATGACTTCATTTTTATGTATTTATTTATTTTATTATTTTTTGTTGTTGTTGAGGAAGATTGTCCCTGAGCTAACATCCACTGCCAATCTTCCTCTCTTTTGTACATGAGCTGCCACCTCAGCATGACCACTGACAGACGAGTGGTGTAGGTCTATGCCTGGGAACCAAACCCAGGCCACCGAAGTGGAGCATGCTGAACTTAACCACTAGGCCACTGGGGCTGGCCCGTGACTTCATTTTTAGTCATCCTCTCACTTGAATTCTATCTACATTATTAGACATTTCATAGCTATATAAAAGCTATTTTGCAATTGCTGTTGTAGGTCAAAAACTGTCCAATATTGACAATTCATATAGTTCAACCAAATAAAAAAACTGAAGCTTTCATTTTAATAATTTCTTGTTTATATGTACATTAACATTGCAGAACCTTTTGATGGAACAAATACAGCCAGAGCTGTACATGAAAAGCAGAAGTTTGACATGATCAAGGATCAATTTTTAAAGGTAAACAATGCATCAGATTAACTCTAGACACATCAGTGGGCTAGTGTGCTTTGAAAATGAAAAAATGTATGTGTAATAGGACAGAATAACCCTGATTCCTATGTTGTGAAGCCATTAATGTGGCACAGTAGGGAATTTGTTAGTTGAATTTAGGTATACTTTTCCTTCAGGGAGATCTGGTTTTGTTTTCATTCATATGACTTTCACTTTGTGGAAATAAGCGTTTCCATAGTGAGATTATAAGCTCTCAAAACAAGTGAATAAAACCTAATGGACTCCTTTCCTTCCTTAAAATCTTGGGGAACTTACTGTAGCCTTAGAAGAAAGCTGATGTTTGTTCCATTCTGTTTCTTCTGCATACACCACTGTAAGAAGGAAATTGAACACCATTTTATCTTTATTTATATTTTGAGAAGTTAAAAAAAATGTATGTGTCTGTGCACACACACACATTTTATATATATAGACTATAAACTGTAGTTTGTTCCTTAGCTCTTTAGTCCACAGTGTGCATTTATTCATCAGTGATTTTGCCAGATGTGGTTCCTATCTTCATGGAATTCTCAGTACAGTGTAGAAAGACATTGATAGAAATGTGTACTATGAGACATATAGGAGAGAGTGCTTCATAGAAGAAAAAGATCAGCAAACGGTGAAGATCATTTTAAAGGCATACTTTCACATTATCTAGACATACTAGTAGACTTTATTTTGATGATAATTAAAAATGCAAGTGTATCATATTACAAGCTGTCCTTCAAATTAAGCCCTCTCAGTCTGTCAACCAGAATAGAAAATTTAAAATGAATGGAATTCTGCAGGGCAAAACAAAACAGATTTTTGTCTATCAGATTGAGAACTCAAGACTAGCATTGCTACATTGCTGTTCTTATTGATGGGTGAGCTTTCATTTAGGATTGTTCAGCTTAAAAACCAATAGTTTTAGTCAGTTGAACAGCTGGAGTGAGAATGATCTACAGAGATCCGCAGTTACCAGTAGTGAGCCAGAGTTTTAGCTTGTGAATAAGAATTTCAGTTTTTTTCTTTTTTTCCCTTACAAATTGTATTTACTCTTTTTCTCTAGAGGCTTTTATAAAGTGCTTTATTACAGGTTTACTCTCACCTTCTTAAAGGCTATTTTTAATTGGAAAAGCATACTAGATGCAAAATAGTCAATCAAATAATTGAAGTAATCTTTCCTTACCCTCTCAAACCCAAAGATTTTGTCTTAATTACCTTGCTATTTTAGATGTAATTCTTTAAATCTGTGAATGAATGTTAATATTGTCAGTTGTATCTTTTTGTTCCACCTATGAGCCTATTTCTTTATTAATGTATTGGAACCACACTGGTATAGAGTTTTTAAATACCATTTTCTTTTCTGACGACAGAAATAGTACTTGTACTGTGTTAAAAACTTGAAAGATTCAAAAACACAAAGAAGAAAAAAATCACCCCAAATTTTACCACCTAGAGAGAACCACTGTTAACATTCTAGTAACTCTCCTTTCAGTCTTTTGTTCCGCATATATTTTAGATTTTAAGAATGATTTTTCTTTCTCTCCCAGTCGTGGCACAGATTGAAAAACAAAAGAGATTTGAACAGTATACTGCCTTTAAGAGCTGCTATCCTGAAAAGATAACTGGCGTCTATTTCTTAATAAATTCTTCTGAGAAAGAAAGAACAATAGTAACATCATAATGCATTTTGTTTACCTCCATCATGGTTTCTTTTTAATTCTTCTTCTTGTTTTCATGTTTTGTTTTTAAGAGGACATACTTATATAAAGATTGCATATTTTATTATGACATTTCCTAATAAAAACCTTTGATTTAAAGATGTATTTTTGAAAATGTTTACATTGATGATTAGTAGTATTATGGCATGAATTTTCAGGTGATCAGATAAAGTATTTTTTGGGAAATTATCTGAACAAATAAAAGGTTTTTGATATAACTTCAATTAATTGTACCACATGCTAATACTGAGGAGATGTGTGGAATTTTGGACAGGGTCTGATTCAGACATACTTACAGGAAAACCTACAGTAGATTGTTGCCTGTCTGTTCTAGTAAAGTGAAGAGTCAAGTCAGTTATTCAGTTACTTGAAGCAAAATGAAATCTTTTATTTCAGTGAAATCATGCAGAGACATGAAATACTGGACAATTGCCTTAAGTCTTCACTTGACTCACCAGGATAGACTGAGGCTTTGAGTGTGTCTTTGTTAGCGTTTCATTAGTACCTCACGTGCTTTTGATGTACTTTTGAGATTGCTTTAAGTTTTTTGTTGAAACAGCAGTACATTTTGCACTGTAGTAATATGAGCTCTAACTCTGTGTTGTACAGCAGTTAGTGAATTGTTTTAAAGAATCAGTTCAGTGTTGACATTTTGAAAAGATTAAATCCCCTGTGCTTTATGATAACTTAGTGCAATGTGCACTTTTGCTTTACTTCCCATTTTCCTGCTTTTATTTTCCCTGTGACATGAAGCAACAGAAACTGAAAGATCAACATCGAGATTATATCCTATTGCTAGTATCAGACTTTTTTCTGTGTACACTTACAGGATTGTGATCTAAACTGGAACTTTTAGGCAGTAAGCCACTATAAAATGTTTTAGGTAAGACATAACAAAATTATTATAAATAAAATCTTAATGTTTATAAAGATATCTTTTTTAGTATCTCCTTTCCACAAGAAGTAGTGGTGGCTGCTAAGAGAGCTACAGTGTTTATTAAGGTTGTTTTTGGTTTATGTAAATATTTGTAAATTCATCAACTCCTGTACATTTAAGTATGAAAAGTAATCTTGAAAACAGTTTTAACTTTTTCAAAAGGACTGTATACAACTTCTTTTAGACCTGCTGTAGCACAGTTTGTACCTCTAATGTGTTTGGGTTTTTTGCAGACCAATTCAAATGCTAAGACTTTTGCTTTTCTTTGACTTGTAAAAGGTGCATATTTTCATTTTCTTCAAGTTTAAATTTTTGTATGACGTCAAATGGAATAAAGTTTATATATGTAAATTGTTGATATGTTTTTTTTTTCTTGTGACAGTCTTTACTTTTGTTTTGTTTTTTTTTGGTGAGGAAGATTGTCGCTGAGCTAACATCTGTGCCAGTCTTCCTCTATTTTATATGTGGGATGCCACCACAGCATGGCTTGATGAGCAGTGTGTAGGTCTGCGCCCAGGATCTGAACCTGCGAACCCTGGGCTGCTGAAGTGGAGCATGCAAACTTAACCACTATGCCACCAGGCTGGCCTGGAAAGTCGTTATTTTTGAGATGAGATTGTGGCTGTAGTTATCATCCAGAACTGAACTGAATCCCGTTATTGTGCTTGATTATTTAGATTATACAGAGAATCTTGGAATCAAGTTCATTCTTGGGTTAGCCAACTAACCACATCAACACCCTATTTCTGTAGCATAGTTAGGGATGAAGCTTTTCACATAGGTGAATTTTTTTGTGTGTGAGGAAGATCAGCCCTGAGCTAACATCCGTGCCAGTCCTCCTCTTTTTGCTGAGGAAGACCGGACCTGAGCTAACATCTATTGCCAATCCTCCTCCTTTTTTTTTTTTTTTTTTCCCTTTTTCTCCCCAAGTCCCCAGTAGATAGTTGTGTGTCATAATTGCACATCCCTCTAGTTGCTGTATGTGGGATGCCGCCTCAGCATGGCCGGACAAGCAGTGCTCGGTGCGTGCCCGAGATCCGAACCCAGGCCGCCAGTAGTGGAGCGCGTGCACTCAACCGCTAAGCCGTGTGGCCAGCCCCTTCACATAGGTGAATTTTTTAGATTACTGATGTTTAACACTTCTGAAGCAATTAAGCTTTGTATATTCTTTTTCTTGGCAATTTTCCTAAAATGTATTATACACTGTGAAACTCTTTATCAGAATATGTTGAGTATAATTAGTATTCTATTGATGACTCGGAGTGATCATTATGAGCAATAAACAATAGTCATAGTACTCTGTAGCAACGCTGTTCAGCTCTCAGGGATAGGTAAGTGGGTAGGGCTTCTGCCTCTGCAGTATTACATTTCCTAATGAAGCCCCAGAATTTACGATGGTGTGGACTCCTTTACTGCCACTGTTTCCTTAGCTTTCAGTGACCACCCCCCCATCTTACTGCTGCTGCTTTTCAGCTATTTTGCTGTGACAAATAGATCAAGAAGTTAATAAACTTATACTCAATTCAAACTTATACTCAATTCTAAATCAATAGACTGAAGCCTAAGATTATGCACCTCGTGACAGCCAAATATGTCCGATAACTGTTAATATATGAGAACTTTTTAGACTTTTAAATTATTTTCAATATGAATTACTTAATTGTGAGGTGAATAATACATTCCTTTATTTTCTTTTTGTATTGATCTGACCATTTCTGTATATTTGCATGTGATGTTCCTGAAGAAAGTAGTGTTTGAAAGTTAAAAATGTGCAATCTGTACTGCAATTCTAAATTTTGGATTGGTTTGAACTAGAATCTTTGCAAATAAATCTTGTTGACGTCACTTAGGGTTCCCAGGAGATTTTGAGTTGAATGGAAGGAATATACAGCGGCTGTAGTTTTGATTAGTATTTAACAGATTCCCACAGCTGTGATTGAATTCTTTCTGTCCTAGGTGAGCAGTCATTTGGGTTACTAACAGAAAAGCCAAGAGAATGAATACTGTTGATGTTAAACCTGGTTCAGTGAACCCTGGAAGGCTGGACTCTGCTGTCTTCCCTTCTCATGCACACTACCTGTTGCTCCTGTACTGTGTCTGAACTATCTGCAGTTCTTTGTCCACAGACCTAATGCATGCACACAAGCTATTGTAACTGGTGAATACATATTTAACAACTTACAGTCATCATATTTAACAACTCTGTGAATAGAATTTGCTGTGATTAAAAATAAATGTTGGCTGTTCTAGCCATAAAATCATCCTCATGAAAAGAATATCTTTATGTTTTGTAAAGATATCTCTCCCTGTTGTGCATACTCAGCAGGTTTGGTCCTGTTCTCTTCAGTTCAGGGAACATTTGTTAAGCACTTACTATGTGCTAAGTACTTTGCTAGCTTCTGGGTTGTAAGAGATGGGGATGGTGGGACAAAGATGAGTAACAAACTTACAAAGTCTACTGAGGGAAAGAGACACAAACATAATTTGAATATAGGATAATGTGGGAACCTGGAAGAAGGGTATTGAACTTAACCTGGAGATTTCAGAGAAAGGTGGTGATCTTGAATGATGAGTAACCAGGAAAATCAAGGTGGGAAAAACCTTTCAGGCAGAAGGAACTGTGTAAATAAAGGCACAGTGGTGTGACTTGATAGATGTTGGGAGCTCCTGCTTTCTAAAGAAGAGACGGGTACATTATGCAGTCTATACAGAAACTGATATATAATAATGTACACCTGAAATTTACATAATGTTATAAGCCAATATGACCCCAATAAAATAATTTAAAAAATAAAGAGACCAGACAGGTAAGATGTGGGCTGTTATGCCAGGTTTATCTTCCTGAGGAGCATAGGTTCTAGCCTTTGAGCAAGGGGGAGTTATTGAGGGGTTTTAAGCATGGGCATGAGGGGGATTCAACCAAAAAGTCTAGGGCCTTGGGGTTGAGTTTCGGACAAAACTTAGCCTCTGGCCAATGCAGGGGAAATTATTCCTCTTCGAGGTTTAAGATTAGTGGAGATAAAAATTTCCTGGCTGAACAATCTCTGCCACTGAGGCAGAGGAATACGCTGTTGATGTGCACACATACAGGGAGCCAATCCTGAACGGTGGTTCAAAACGGCTTTTGAAACGGGCAGACCGAGCTTTGTTTCCGCTTGGGTCGCTTTGCTAGCTAGGACACCTTGGGCAAGCTGGCTACCCAAGCTCTTCTGAGCCTCATTTTACTCATCTCGGAAACCAGCGTTGCGGTTAACCATACCACAGCAGAGTTGTGAGGGGATGATGGAAGTGAGACCCTTCGCAGGGTGCCTGACCCAGCACACGCTCTGCTCATTAAGGGGTAGTTATTCCTTGGTTGGGATAAAGGGCCCGTCAGGTAGCTCGACTGGAAACAGCAACGTACCAAACCCAGTCTAGAGGGAAGAGAGGCGCGGCCGGTGCCTTCCCCCTTTCACCACCCCGGTGCGGCCTGCCTGCGCCCCCGGGAGTGGTGCTCTCCGGGGCCCAAAGGGCCGTCGGGGCTGTGCCGGACCTGGGCCGGGGAGGGCTCGGGAAGTTGGCAGACGCGCAGGCAGGAGGAGAATCTGAGCCCGGGCCCCAGAAGCTCGGTGGCGAAACTTTTTGACGCCTTCTATTTAAAGTCGCGGGGCTCGCCCGCCCCCGGGCCGGGAACCCGAGCCGCCTCCGGGGCCGGGCCGGGCCAGCGGCGCAGTCAGAGGGAGAACACCAGGCGCGCGGGCGGCTCCGGCCCCGGCTCCGGCCCCAGAGGCGCGATGGCGAGCAGCGACAGCACCCTCGCCGGGGAGAGCGCCTTCGGCTCCGACGGGGACGAGGAGGTCACCCGAGCGCCGGAGACCGAGGAGGAGTCGGAGGGCGAGGAGGAGCAGGAGGAGGAGGAGACGGCCGCGGAGTCGGAGGAGGAGCCGGACGCCAGGTAGCGTGGCCTCCGTCCCCGGGCCCGGGCCGAGCGCACGGAGGGCAGGGGCTGCGCGGGGGACTGCGCTCTCCCTCTGCTTTAAGCTCGAGTTCATTTCCCCGGAGCTAAGCACTTGCTCTCTGCGGGCGCCGCCTTGGTAAAGAACTTGAAGGTGAAGGCGCTTGCTGTCAGCCGGAGTGACAGGCCCGCCTGCAGCAGCGACGTTCGTTACTCCCCCCTTCACCCCCCCGCCCCCAGCCCAGCTCCTTGTGACTGCTGCTGCTGTTCATTCCTGGGGATTTACTTAGGGTCCTGCCTAACTGCAGAAATGTGCTGAAACGCTTACATTCGGCCCAAGGAGTAGGAACAAGCTTGAAAGCCTGAGCTGAGGAGAAGGGGGTATGGGGTGGGGGCAGAGGCGGAGAAGGCTGCTCTAGAACCTTCAAGTGACAGGAGGTCTCGTGGGTGCCTAGCACGGGGCTAGGCTGCTATAATAATTAAGTAAACATAATTAAGTAATACTATGTGAAAATACGGGTCTCCCTCGACTTCCAGCTCTTTCCCTCCCCACCTTCATGAAGGCCCTAAAATGAGAACAGTAGGAATCACCTCCTCTCTATTTGGATTGGTTTCTACTTTCACTTGTTCTCTTTGAGTATGGGTTTTTTTGTTTGTTTTTTGTTTTGTCAGTCAGTGATGTCCCTTCCTAAATCTAATAATATCAGTAGAAAGGCTCTGTGGGTGACAGATAGATGTGCAGCGTTTCAGAATGCCCATCTTACCCAAAGTTAAAAGTGCTGCCTGACCGAAGCCAGCAGAGCTGAAGTTGAAATGCCCATAAAATGGCCTTGATTAGGGTGACTAGTCAGTCAGGGAAGAAGTCTAGAATACTGGTCACATATTTACCAAGCAACTACCAAGTGGGGAGCAGGCACAGTCCCTGCCCTCCAGGACTTTATGGAAAAAGTTAGAGAGCAGTATGGCAAGTGTGAGACTATGTGCTGAATAAATAAGGGGCGGGGAGAGGACTGCCCATGGGTACTGTGGAAGGCCAGAAGAGAGGGTGTAGCTCTGTGACAGCCTTGAGAAGAAGGGGCATGACCTGTGCCTTGGAGAATGGGCAGGAGATGCGGAAAGGAAAAGCAGAAGAGAAGCCACCTGTGGGAAATGGAACAGGAAATAGGGACCTGTGACTCCTGGGCAATGTTGAGAAGGGGAAATCTGTCGATCCCAGCCTTTATAACCTTCTCTTGAATGGTGTCTGGGATGCTCATATCGTTGTCTAACCAACATTTACCCCCCAGAGCATCTGAAAAGCCATTTACTCTAAAATGTGAGCAGCTGACAGTGATTCAAAGCACCGCTTTGAAGTTGCATTGTCCTTTGACCAGGTCAAGGTGTTCAGGTAAAGAGTTACTGCAGTGAAGTTC